TAAGAAAGGTACAAATGCACAGGAGAAACTGACTTTTCTACTGAGGAAAATGAGGGAGTTTATCCCCTGCATTCCTTTTAGGCCATAAAACCAGTGATATCAGCATTGGTTACCATGGAACCAGAGGCCTGTTCTGCTTTTCTGAGGTGTTAGGTACATTTCGGGGGAAGGGTCCATAGACCCTCGTAATTGGCCATTTGGTTAGGTGATGGGGAGTTCGATATTATTTGTTAAATATAACAAAAAGTTGTGTGTCTGATTGGTCCAAATGCTACAATAGATACCCCTTAGTTTCAAAATATTTACAGTAGAAATAATTTTTAATTTTACAGATTTTTACAGAATAGGTAGCTACACTATAGTTACAAAAACGTTACGCTGTAAATTCTGTTTACTTACGCAGTACGCTGCGGGTTGTAATCTAAAGTGTTACCCTGAAATCTGAACAGATCACTTTTGAACAACCGGCCCTAGATGATTTAATGAGAATTATCTAAGAGAGTAAAACTCTCCTCCATTTTTTACTTTGTGCAAGCCTGCAGATCCTGAATTGCTAATAAACTCACGCAGACTGCTACTGTACAAAAAACACACCAAACTGACCAGAATAATAGCTTGTTTCTTAACATGTGAAAGACACTGCAAGAATTATAATGGCAGTGAATGAAACCATCAGGAGTCAAGGTTCATATTCCTCTGCTCGTGTGGCTTCTGTATAATTATTTGTCTGATTTGTGATGGTTCTTGTTCACAGAGGCATAAAGTTGACTGCAGTTTTCCTGAGCTCCAGCTTTTGTTCCTCCGATGGAAGCACAAGTCACTTTATAATCACAGTGAACCTGAATCAACATCACAGTCACTGTTTTAACCCACAATTATTACAGTATGTGGTTTGAGCTCAATTCATGACACTAATTTATATAAGAACAAAACTAATACAGGTTATATTGAGGGAAAGTGGACATTGATGGAAGATCAAGAAGTGTTTGCTCACCTTGTTAATTTTTTTTATTTTATTTTTTTACTGTACGCAGTAATTTCAGTATAAGTCACATCATCTGTCTGATCCGAAACATCAATGAAAATACAACAAATCAAGATATTAAAAGCCCATCCATCACTACTGTGTGAAGAAGGCTAATTATTTTACTGCAAATGTTTAAGTCAAATATGTGTAAACCCTACAGGTTTAGTGAAAATCTATTATACAAACATGAGGTTATGGAAAATTACCATAGTAACTGTCAAATATACACAGATATGAAAATATACATTAATTACTGAAGATGAATCATATTGTTCACTGTGAGCAGGATGAATGGAAATGTTGATTGTCAATGGTTCCATTATATTTCTATCTGTGAGCTTTAGAGCAGAAACAGCAGAAATATCCTAACTTGTCCTGATCTAATGTGAGTAATAAGAGTGTGATATTTCAGAGTCAGTCCTCTGTGGAGCTCATGAACACTAACAGCTCATGATCAACCTACAAAACTCACCACAGAGTCATCAGTCGCTCTTCTGACAGCTGAAACATAATGACATGGAAATAGTTATGATGAAACTGTCTCTAATGCAGATGACAATCGATTTCTAAAACAGTCTAGAAGAATTCTAGTGCTGTAGAGTAGGAAAGTATGACTCCTTGAATTTGAATGGATATTTACTAGAGAAATGTGAAGCAACACTTCTCCATTAGTCACTTTATAACAACTCTAGTACATTTCAACACTCAGTCTGTAGATCAGAGGAAGTTAAAAACCACAGGAAGAGCTGATAGTATTTAAAGAGTTGTGAGCGTATAATGAAGAGGAAGACTGACAGAAAGAGAAAATGGCTGATAAGTGTCATCTGTGTCTGCTGGAACTGATCTTTCTCTCTTCACTTCTCACAGGTAAAGAGATCTCTGTTTTCTCTTCAAACAGTTAGTGGAATTAGTCTGAGAAAGAGTTCATTTGAACAGGATCAGTTTATTATTGTGTTACAAACAGAACATACTGGATTATTCCGGTACGCACTAAAACTAGACAGTTTCACACTCAAACATCAGATGCAGAATTATCTTCATATTAAGAGTGTGTTCATGATTTCAACAACTCTCTGATAAAGAAAAATAGTTTCTTCTGGAGAGTGTGTTGTTTGCAATAAGTGATTTTATGCTGGTATGTTTCACGTCTTCATTTATTAATATATAGTATAATAATCACTCAAATGTTCGTGTTTCAGGTTCCAGTGGAGTGGATGATGCTCATGTGTTCATCGGTTCTGGTGAAAATGTTCGTCTGCCCTGTAATAATGCTCGTCCTGACTGCACATCAACTACATGGATCTATAACGGGTTCAATCATTCAGCAGCAGTTGAACTGATTGCATTAGGGATAACGAAGACAGACACAGAGAAACATGAGAGACTGAGTCTGGGGTCTGACTGCTCGCTGAATATCAACAACATAACAAAAGAAGATTATGGATCTTACACCTGCCAACAATATGTGAATAACAAAAGACAAGGAACTGATGCTCGTGTTTCTCTGCATGTCCTTCATGGTAATTTTACGATTATGTGCTCAATTGAAAAAGGGCAAATTCTTCATGTAAACTCTCATGATGATTGACATGTCTGTGATATGTGTGTTATTTTGTGTTCCAGTCTCTTCATCATCCTCACAGACTGAGAGCAGAGCAGGCCACTCTGTGACTCTCTCCTGTCAGTTGTATTCATTTGCTGGAGTCTCTTGTGATGATTGGATCCGTTCTGAGAGAATTGAGCTGCTCTGGGTGAATCAGGCTGGTGATACACTGATAAACTCAGACTCCAGATATCAGATATCAGCTCCAGATCACTGTATCAGCACTCTGACTACAACACTCCTGAATGAAGATCACAACAGAGAGTGGAGATGTGAAGTTTCTCAAATCAAGACGTCAGTCACATATACTGTCAGGTATTCAGGTGAGAAACAAACTTCCATAACTTACTTTCAGAAGACCATCTGATACAGAGACATGACTTGAGGATTAATAATGTCATTCATTTTCAGGACAAACTGAAGGGTTGCATATAAATGAGGCATAAATTGCTTCATGTAGTCATATGGTAACCAGTGCCTTTCTGAGCATAAATGGGTCCTAAGTGAAATCTTAAATAATAATAGATGACAAACTCACGAAGCAGTGGAAGTTCATTTATCATTTCTGTGATGTGAAGCTCAAGTATGTTGTGATGTTGATGTTTGGTTTCTATGTTTATGTTTGATCTGAACTAACAGACATGATCACATATCCAGCAGAAACTGAAGTTAGCAGGACTGCTGGATTATTATTCAGAGGTACCACACATCTTTACATTGTTCGTTGTTTTATACCTATGTTTGCATTTCCAGTTTCACAGATTGAGTCTGTGAGATTTTTCTCTTGATTGTGTCTCTCGTCTGTCCTGCAGTGATTGTGATTATTGTTGAGTTTGCAGTATTTGCTGCTCCTACTGTGATTCTTCTTCAGATCATCTGTGCAAGAAGAGCTGGTGAGTGTTTGAGATGATTCACATTGATCTGGAACAATCTGCACTCATGTGAGCTCAGTAAATGCTTTTGTGTTGTATTATTTTGCAGGGAGGAAGAACTCACAGCACCGAGAGGAAATAGTGATGAATACAGTATTACAATAAAATGCTCTACCAATTACAGGCCAGATTACACTGTAAAAACAAACAAACAAACAAACAAAAAAAACAATTGTAAATGACTAGCAGCTACGGCTGCCAAACAAATACCGTTAAATTAAAATAAAATAATTAAATAAATTAAAATTTTATTTGAATTCAATAATTTGAATTTAATTTAAATAAAGTGCAAAAACAATAATTTTACAGAAATTTTCATTAAAATTTTAGTGAAAAACAATGTTATTTTATGGATTTTTCCATGTTTAAATTAAGATATTTTACTTTAATGTTACGGTTTTTGTTTGGCAGCCATAGCTGCCAGTCATTTACCATTTTTACGGGACTTTTTTACAGTGTAAACCCCTTATTTTACAGATTTTTCCTAGATTATTACAATGAAAGCACTAAATGTTCTACAGAGAAACAGTGTTATTTTACAAATCATTACAATCAAAAACCTAAGTGTCAAAGCATGCTCAAGATGGAAAATTAACAGTTTTATTTGGAAGACAAAATACAAAGGCTGTACAAATTCCATATAAAATTAAAATTTTACATTTCAGTTTTTTTTTTAAGAAATACAGCACAATTACATTTAAAATACTGTACTGATGAAGAACATAGTTTCATCAAAATGTTGAATTAAGTATATTCAACTTAAAGGACAAGTTCACTTCCAGAATGAATATTTCCTGATAATGTACTCACCCCATATAATCCAAGATGTTCATATCTTTCTTTACTCAGTCAAAAAGAAATTAAGGTTTATGAGGAAAACATTCCAGGATTTTTCTCCATATAGTGGACTTCAATGGGAGCCAACGGGTTGAAGGTCCAAATTTCAGTTTCAATGCAGCTTTCAAAGGGCTTTACAAGTTCCCAGCGACCGTTATTCCTCGGCTGGGATCGTTTAAAGCCCTTTGAAGCGGCATTGAAACTGAAATTTGGACCTTCAACCCGTTGGCTCCCATTGAAGTCCACTATATGGAGAAAAATCCTGGAATGTTTTCCTCAAAAACCTTATTTTTTTTTTCAACAGAAAAAAGAAAGACATGAACATCTTGGATGACATGGGGGTGAGTAAATTATCAGGAACATTTTATTCTGGAATTGAACTAGTCCTTTAAAACTGAAGAAATACAAAACCGATATATCTACAAGATTGTCAAGATTGATTCTAAAAGAGTTTTATTATTCAGACGTAAATTTACATTATCAATGAATTCTTCATAAACAGTTCTTCAGAACCCTCAGAAGGAATTCAATAACTCAAAATTGCATTTCTATCTTATCAGTTAGGGTTACTCTCATGATGAGGTTAATTTTACCTTTGAGAGAAAGAAACAATGTGTGCTGTTTGCTGATAGATTTGTATCTTGTATTTTCCACATACATTTTATATTAATCCACAATATTCTACTACTGACTCATGTGGGCTCCATATACAGTGGTGTCCAAAATGATTAGAACACTAGTATTTTCACCAGGTCAAAAATGGTTTTAAGTCAGTTATTTCTATCTTTAGCTTTATTGTGTCAGTAGAAAATATCAGTTTACATTTCCAAACATTCATTTTGCCATTAATTGTAATAATCCAGATAGATTTTTGTCTGACAACAGCCAGTGCTCCACACAGAGATCTGATCTGATCACCATCAGTCTGTCTGGAATGACATGCAGAAACAGAACAAACTAAGACAGACTAAATCCAGAAGAGCTGTGGCAGCGTCTCCAAGATGCTTCAAGAAACCCACATGCAAAGCTAACTGAGAAACTATGTGCAAGTGTACCGAGGGCAAAAGCTGCTTTAAGGTCACACCAAATGCTGATTTAAATAAAGGATGGTCACGCCAAATGCTGATTTAAATAAAGGATGGTCACGCCAAATGCTGATTTAAATAAAGGATGGTCACGCCAAATGCTGATTTAAATAAAGGATGGTCACGCCAAATGCTGATTTAAATAAAGGATGGTCACGCCAAATGCTGATTTAATTTAGTTAACAGAAGTTAATTGATAAAGAAAATTTATTTATGACATTATTTTTTGACAGCATCCCCATTTTACAGAAGTGTCTAAAACTTTTAACAGCACTGTAGCTTCGCAGGGAGGTTTCTTGAAGCATCTTGGAGACGTTGCCACAGTTCTTCTGGATTGAGTCTGTCTCAGTTTGTTCTGTTTCTTCATGTCATTCCAGACAGACTGGATGCAGATCAGATCAGATCTCTGTGTGCAGCACAAAAATGTCACTGGAATATTACAATTAATGGCAAAATGAATGTTTGGAAATGTAAACATATTTCCTACTGACACACTACAGCAAAAGATAGAAATAACTGACTTAAAACCATTTTTAGCTGCTGAAAATACTAGTGTTCTAATCATTTTGGGCACCACTGTAGCTCTGATAATAAATGTTGACAAACATATGTATTTTAATTCTGAATTCTAGCTATATCAGTGCAGCATCTGGACCAATCAAACACACAATATATATTTTGTTAGCTAGATTTAACAAATACTCTGTAACCCCCCTCAGTTAACAAGCCATATGAGGAACTATGGACCCTTCCCCCTGAAATGCGTAACACCCCAGGTAGCCGAACAGGCCCCTGGTTCCATGGCAACCAATGCGGATTTCACTGGGTTTATTGCCCAGAGGAATGTGAGCAGAGAGACTCTCACTGCATTTTCCATAGCAAGAGGCACAATGCACAGTACTTTTCTACTAATTAATTCATAGGAAAACCTTTCTTTGAATGAACAGTGTATCCTTCAGGTCATGGTGTATGTTGTCTTAGATATTTTTAGACTGTTTTATGCAGGCTTATGAGGGAACCACTCGTCCTGTCATCCTTTCACTATATGTAATCCTACCTTGTTTAGTATCTATGAATTCGCCTTCTGATGATCGAAACAAGCGTGTATATTATATGTTGGTACATAGGCAATATATATTAGTGTCCTGAGAATCTTTAGTAATTTCGATCCAAGTTCCATTTGCAAATTACCATGCTTAGAGACAAAGGGTCGTAAAATCCTCCAGCAATTGCCACCTCCCGCTTGGAATTTCCGTCTTTCTCATTGGACAAGCCCATTTTGAGAGGCGGGAATCTTCTACAGCATAAAGGTCTCACACTAGAGACCCACCCAGAGTCGGTGGTTCTGTTAGGTTTTGATAAGATGTGAGCTCCAACGCTCCAGGACTTCCTAAGTTTTGTGCCTGGCCTTCGGCCTTGTCTTTTCCATTCAACAAGATTCTCCGACTCAAACTGGTTCTTTTTCATCAACCAACTTCAGCAAAGATCACTGGGACTTTCAGATTGCATCAAGCCTTCTTTCAGACAGACGAGACTTGCAAGTAATTCAGACTTAGTCTTATTAATTGATACATTAGGTATCATTTTCACCTTTTTTACAAAGGTGTGTTTGAACTAAGAATCTGATGTTTCCCTCAGGTGTAAATCTGCTGAATATGCAAATGGTTCAATAACTTCATGTTCTTACTTCTCTTCTCTTTAAAGGGTTAAGCTTTAACCCTTTCCTATACAACCTGTGTGTGTGTGTGTGTATGTGTGTGTTAGACCAGTTTATGTGTTTATGTAGTATGTTAGACCAGTTTAAGTGTTTATGTAGTATGTTAGACTAGTTTAAGTGTTTATGTAGTTAATAAAGTCTTACTTGTATCACACTTGACGTTGTTCATTGTTTGCTCATAACTGGAGTCACTTAATCATGCAGATTTATGCTACAAGCTTTTGTAGAATTGTACAGTAAGGAAGTTATTTCCCTTAACCAGGAAATTAACGTTCTTAGAATTGACAAGACAGTTGACCCTGAGAGGTCAGCTAAATATCTACAGCATTAATTGATATATTAGGTATCAGTTGCACCTTTTTACCAAGGTGTGTTTGAACTAAGAATCTGATTTTTCCCTCAGGTGTAAATCTGCTGAATATGCAAATGGTTCAATAACTTCATGTTCTTATTTCTCTTCTCTTTAAAGGGTTAAGCTTTATGCCTTTCCTATACAAACTGTGTGTGTATGTGTGTGTTAGACTAGTTTAAGTGTTTATGTAGTTAATAAAACCTTACTTGTATCACACTTGACGTGGTTCATTGTTTGCTCATAACTGGAGTCACTTAATCATGCAGATTTATGCTACAAGCTTTTGTAGAATTGTACAGTAAGGAAGTTATTTCCCTTAACCAAGAAATTAACGTTCTTAGAATTGACAAGACAGTTGACCCTGAGAGGTCAGCTAAATATCTACAGCGAATCTAAAATGTTCATAATTAATTAACTAGTTATGATTAATTATTCATATTTCCCATGAGCTGACTCGTTACATCCGGGTAATAATAAGTAAAACCAAAACATACAACAAAAGGTCCATGACTCTGCTCCAGAAGTGACAGACACCGCAGATAAAGAGCAGTCCTCCTCAAAATTGCCAGTAATCAGCTGCATCAGCTGGGGGTAAAAAAAAAGATTGTGAGAAGACACCTGTTTTTAATCTGGGATTAAAACAAACTAAAAACATGGAATAAAACTACTGTGAACATTCCTTTAAAAATAAATTTATGATAGTATGTCTTAATGTTAGACATGAATCCTCACTTCCTCTGAAGATCATGTGGTAGAAGATTTTCATGACAGTGTTCTCAGATTACTCATTTAAAAACGTTACTTCACTTTGAGTTTGATCTTAAAACTAGCTGACAGTATGGGTGGGCGATATGACCATATTATTTCACAATAACAATATATCGCAATACAGTTATTCTTGTTATTTTTTTAAACATAAGATCAAAGTAAATTACAAACAATAGGACTAATGCAATAGAACAATGGTAAGTTAAAGGGCTACTTCACCCCAAAAATGAAAATTCTGTCATTAATTACTCACCCTCATGTCGTTCCAAACCCCGTAAGACCCCTGTTCATCTTCGGAACACAAATTAAGATATTTTTGATGAATTCTGAGAGCTCTCTGACCCTCCCTGTC